TTTTTTTTATCCATTTTGTTAGAAAACAAAACAAGCAGCACATGATGGGAAAACATGTCATTTTACTTAAAATTGCACAGGAAAGCACATTGCACTTTTCACTTATGGCTTTCAGCAACAAATTTTATACATGACTGACAATATCTTAAACATTTACAAAAAGTATGCATTGGCATAAAAATAACTTTTACCCTTTATACAAAGGAATATGACTTTCAGTTTAATAAAACTGTAATAACATGGTCTTGAAGTTCTAAGAAGTACTTAGATTTAAGGCATAACATGCACATTTCTAGGGCCTGTACAATAACCAATAGGATCACGGTGCAGGTAGTCACAGTTAATGAGAACTCCCATCTTTTCCACCATTTGTGCTTAAGAAGACATTTGGAGAAAAAAAAGTTTATAAAAATGTCGAGATTTTGTTTTCCTTTTCGTATTTCAACCCTCTTTCGGTGCACTTCTTACTGGCAACACAAAGGCGACACATCCTCAGAAGGTGAGGGGAACAGCCTCATGGCCTCTCTGGAGGATTTGGTGTAGCCATTATGGAAAATGAAGGCCTTCTTCACTGTGAAAAAGGAGACAGTCTTGTCCCACACGTCAGAGCTGCTCATTCCAGTGCTTAGATGGCTCTCTAACGTGGAGCGGAGCCTCACTGCTCTGTTTGTGCACTTCCTTTCCAAAATCATCATCTTACACAGGCTGTGGAAGGAGATGAAGAAACATCAGATTAATGGTAGATGCAGAGAATTGGGTTGTTTCCAGGAGAAAACTACCAGCATGCTTAAATAATGACAGCACATGTAGAAATGGTTTTGGTAACATTCATTCAACATAAAAAAAAAAAAGGAAAAAAACAAAACTTTCAATCACTTTTGAGTCAAATTCATAGATAGTGGAAGAAACATTGCTGTGACGCCTATTCAAAACTAGGATCAAGCCTGGGATGATCTACTTCTACCATGAAGTTTCTTGTATTCGAGCTTACGTTGTGTGTTGATCCCTCATGGCGAATATGCAGTCGGATGGCGTCCCGTGAGTCCAGGCCCGTGTGGGTTACAAGAAAACGTTCAGGGTTATGATTTTACCCACAGAGACCTCCCTCATTTATATACTTATGCCAGCTTTCCCACTGATTTAATGTGATGTTGGTTCTCACAGTGGTTGGCCAATCACAAAGCAGCATTATGACAATAGGATGTGAATGAATTAGTTGAATTCATTGGGGTACAATGGCCCCAATCCAAACAAACAGGTGGGAGGGGCCCATTGCTTGCCCCTTGTTGAGGGAGATATCCTTGTTATTGTATCCACTGGGATGATATGTGGTGGGAACGTGGAGGACAACATCTGTCTGAGGACATGCCTCCTGGAGGAGAAAGACGTCCATTGGTGGGCAGAGTTTCCAGATAGGCAACCTAAATATTTAGATACATTTTTGGAAATGTGATCTATGTGAGGGCAACAAAAAGCATCATCACAGACTGGATCTGCATCTAAGTGTTGTTAGTACCTGCTATATTAGTCTTTAATATAGAATAATCCCTTTTCTGTTGCAACAACCTGAGAAAGTGAAGTGGTTTTCACTTTTTTCTCAACTTCTTAAACTTTTCATGTCAAACAGTGTAAGAGTTTTGCACCTTTTTATTCACAGATTCTTAAAAAAAGTTCATCATCCTATCCAGAAAGTTTCCCACCCTCCACACACACACTCCCTATTCTTCTTATTTAACTTTCTGTCTCTATTTCAGCCTCTCCAATTCTCACGGTAAACATCTCCCGCGCTTGATCGGCCGACAATGGCATACAATCCATCCAGATGGTGTGCCTGGAAGCCCTGTTGACAGCCCTGTTTTCCTGGGTGTGTGCGTGCATGTGTTGTTAGTGGGGCTCGAAGGGGGGGTTGGTCACTCAATCTTTGTGCGATGGGGCACACTTCCTTTGTGCAGGCGGCCTCAGAGTCATTAAACACTGAAGTGTGGGAAGCCTGGGACCACAGCGGCTCCCACGTTCCACACAGGCAGGAAGGGAGCGTGTGACTGAGACGTGGCCAGCGGCATGCAGGTCAGCCAGCTGTGTGGGTGTGTGAGTGTGTGTGTGTGGGGTAGGGAAAGTGAATGAGAGTGTGGCTGTCTGCATGAGTTTGTGGGGGGTTGCCTGATGTGTCAGCATGTGCTGGGAGCGTGAAAGCTTAAAGCTGAAGCACTTTACAATTCACACACAGCTCTAATCACGTTCATCAGATTAAAGCTGACAAACTGAACATCAAAGGTGTCGCTAATGAGTCATTATAACAGGCAAATTTTGAATGGCAGTACTTTTTTGTAACTGAGAGAGTACACTTTGTATCAGCTCTACAGTCTTTAGATATCACACAAATCTATGAAAATGCTTGAGATTGGTGAACGTAATGAAAATTAGCTGCGATTAATCACTAATACTTCAGCTTCATCAGGGCTGGATATTGTGTGAGTGATTTGGTCAGATTATACAGCTGTCTCTCAAGGATTGTACTAAACCTTGAATGAGGAAACACCTTATAAACATATAACAGTTTAATCAGATTATCTGAAAAAAGGGTTAAATATTCATAGTCTAAATATTCTCTTTTCTTTTTCAGCTGAATATTTTTGAGTTGCAAATCTGTTGCTTTCTTTCTCTTTGAATCTTCGAGGCACCTCAACCTGTTGCACAGCTCTGAAAGTCTGCCATTTCACACTGGTGGAAGTGGCTGCATGTTGGTCTTTCTCTAATGCTTGGCCCTCTGTAACACCCACGTGTGCCTGGTGGCAGAGGCACTTTGTCTTCAATTACGTGGCGGCGAAGATGACATGAGACAGCGGCATGCTTCCCTCTGGGGTCACCACTTTCCCATATCAGCACAAGCACCAGGTCAGTCTCCCATCTACCCCCACTCAGCCCCCCTCCCTCTGCCCACTCCACCCCGGGCTTTCTCTTGCAGTCTATTCCTCCACCTGCTCCCCAGAGACACACTCATTGTCCCCACGGCTATAAACACTTCATTGAGCATGTGGCAGCCCTGCGTTCCTCAAAGCCCTTCCCAGCACTCCCATTGGCCCGGGGACTGTGAGAAACTCCATCAAGCCTAAGACTCACACATTCATATGGAGATTTGGGTGTATAAATACAGGGCAGTGGCAGAGGAGAGGAGAACGCAGCTCAGATCCAACCAGCTCTTCAACCCGAGTAGAGACCCTGACTCCACAGCAATGGCTCCCTCTGTTTTTGGACAAGCAAACAAGGAACACCTGACCCCTGCTCACAAGGTAAATACTTTTTTCAGAAAAGTCTCATAACTGGATTTGTGTTGGAACAAATAATTCAATTAAAAGCAATGTTCAATTTGACTAAAATACCTTTTTTTTTCCCCTCCTTCTTTTCTTCAGCTAAGAAAGCCAATGGTAGAGAAACTACGCAGAGACCGCATCAACACCAGCATCGAGCAGCTGAAATCCCTGCTGGGGCCTGAGTTCCTCAGGCAGCAGCCTGACTCCAAGCAGGAGAAGGCTGACATCCTGGAGATGGCTGTGTCATATCTGAGAAACTGGCACCAGCAGCAGAAGCAGGCCGGCTTGACCTCTAGCCCGATGGTGGCTAGCGACGGTTACTCCCACTGCGTGCAGGAGGCTGTCAGCTTCCTGTCCCACTGCCAGGTCCAGACTCAAGCCCACAGGCTGCTACTCAGCCACTTTCACGGCCTGCAGGCGTCCAGCGGGACCAGTCACAGTCCCTGCAACCTCCCTTCTCCTCCTGGCTCCCCACTCCATCAGGTCAGCTCCAGCAAGGGCGTAAGCCAGGTCAGCTGTGCTCTGTGGAGGCCCTGGTAACATCAGGAGATCACGGGATCACCTGTGAACCGAGAGAGAACTACGTCTGTGAACGTCATGGACAGAGAGTTAAGGACTTATAGAGAAGTCTGCTTTCTTCTGCTTTAGCAGAAGATTCAATACTGTCAAGTGTTTTATTTTGTGGTGAAATCAGCACGATGTGCCGGTACTCCTTTGGAAGGACTGAAATGATTTAGTGTATTATATATGATACACGCTTTATTATTTGGAGTGCTCATTCTGTGAATGTGTTAATTGTCCCTGTGGGAAAACTGCTCCTGACTTTTTGTTTGTTTTGCAAACATCATTGAATTATATTAACCACATTGGTTTGAAACTATTTAAGTGTCCGAGACACTGATCGATGTGTTTACTGTTTGTCCCTGATGCTGAGTGTCACTGATTGACGTGTTTCATCAGTTTGCTGTTGATGAATCAAAAACAAGCCATAGAGAGATCCCATGGATCCGTCTGTACTGTAAATCTTATAACGATTATACTTTTGTTTTATTTGTAACCATCATTTGGCCTGTGTATGAAGGATACTGATACTGTAACCGTTACCTGTCCACTTGTAATGTTCATAATGGATTTTTAAAATCTTCATAACAATGCCTTTTATAAAGGCCTTTTTTGCGCTGATATCAATCTTTGTAAAAAGAATCTGATTTATTGCTTCCTTGAGGAGTTTGATATTGAAAAAATAAATAAATGAGAAACTTCTGATGAAGTTCTGCAAATATAAGTAATCGCAATGTGCTTTCTTTTAAAGAAAACTACAGTGCTAAATATGTCTTGACTTATTACTGATTGATTCATTTCTGTACACCAGAGTGGGAGACAGAGAGGGGGAGCTGGTGGAGTGGGGGACTAAAAACCTAAATCCAGTCATACTAGAACTGACAGCAGCTTTAGTTCAGTGTAAGAATTGAGCCCTGGATCTTGTAAAGATTCATTAGGTTAGTGCTAAATATTTGGTGGTTTGATCACCATTTATGCATCTATGGCTCCAGTAATTAGTCACTTACATCACTACAAACCTTCTAAACATTGTAAAGACTTAGGAAATGGGGAAAATAAAATGGAGATATAACAGAAAATCCAACTAAACGCAAGTTTTCACCATTTAAAGAGTGATGCCAATTAAAATGCACAAGTTTGTCTTTTTTTCATGCCACAGTGCCAGGTGTATAACACATCTGTTTGCACAGGTCTGGTGGCGCTGAATGGCGGCACTCTACAAGTGCTTAAATTAAATTATAATTCTTACAAAATGACTACATTTTCAAGTCATTTTAAGTGACAGTAATTTAAACAAAATGCAACTAAAGAGTTTGAATCGTCAATGTTAATTTACTGATTCAGGAGAGTGTCTTGTTTAGCTAAATTTTGATTTGGGATTTACCACAGGTATCATTAACATGTCATCTTATCCGACCTGGTAATCATCAACAGGTGCTTAAAAAAAAAAAAAATCAAAAATCAGTATGTAGACGCCCCAGCAGGCCACATATGCCGCTTTTCTCTGTTGTGATTGTCTTGGTATGTTGTGCAGTGCTTGAGTTATCTCTCAAGTGCCACAAAAGTCTTTCACAATTATTTGTGTGCGCTGAAGTTGTGGAGAATGTGGGACTTTCTCAGGGTCTAGTTTGCCAGGCCAGATGGTCTGGCTGAAGCTGC